AAGCCAGTGCACTGGAGCAAGAGGTCAAAGTCTTTCTGGGAACCACAGGTGTCAACCCTAGGGCTCAAAGGCACGGGTGGGAAATGAGGGCAGGTTAGCCCTCTGGCAGCCACAAGATCAATACAGCTGTAGCATATTGCCCTCCTGACTCTCTTATCAAAAACAATGCTACATGTAATCTCTTGGCAGGAAGAAAGAGTCCAAATGCCACCATAGCTAGCCTGAGGAACCCTATAAGGAACAAAAAACACGCCTCCCGAGTTCCTAGCCTCAGAGGGATTGCCAGAAATCAGAAGGCAAGTCAGTTTAGGGCTTATCCCACAGAACATGGCCCAGGTTGAGACAGAGGTCCCTGGTTCAGACATAGTGTAACCTAAGGCTGCTGCTTCACTGCCTTACTCTGTTTCCTGACCAAGACTAGACAGCTTTGCAGTTCTGGAGCATCTCTGTCTCTAAAAAATAATCAGACCCAAAGATCTAACCAAACAGTAACAAGTAGGTAGGATGGCGAGCAAAATATTTCTTCTTTCCACCTGCCCTGGACACCCACCTAACAGCCTCCCACGATGCGCTTCCTTCCGATAAGGATCAGGTCTCGGAATGAAGTCACAAATCCCCAAATGCCTGGCTGCTCAACTGAGGGTCGGTAGGAGGACAGCAAGGGGAGAGGCCTCCCGCTGGCCTTGGTGGTACAGTCTGTACATCTTGACTACACGGGAAGTTGAGGCAGAAGAACTCACTGATCCGGTGGGAACCATTATTATTTTATAACCCAAGTGTATTTTGATGCTTTCTGGGGCTGGCAACATTAAGAACAATAGTGCAAGCAATTCTTCAGACCAACTCAAAATCCCCCTGCAGACAAGCACCCCAGCATGAGGACCACAACACCCTCGAGAAAGAGATTGTGGGACGCCTTAGCACATTCTCTTTCTCTCTTTTTTTTTCTGTCTCTCTCTCTCTTTTTTTTGTTTGGTTTTTCGAGACAGGGTGTCTCTGTGTAGCCCTGGCTGTCCTGGAACTCACTCTGTAGCCCAGGCTAGCCTCGAACTCTCAAACTCAGAAATCCACCTGCCTTTGCCTCCCAAGTGCTGGGATTAAAGGCGTGCGCCACCACTGCCCGGCTAGCACATTCTCTAGATAGTTCTATTATCAATTCAAACTTTTCCCCTCCCACAGTCCAGAGGCTCTGGTACTGCCTCTAGACACACTGTGCTACCAACTGCCCTTTCCCTACATCCAATGTCTATACATCAGGTCTTGATGGAAAACTCCTTACTTAAGCAGAATATCCCTCCAACCTGCTCCCCGCTTTACATTTGGAACAACTTTATATTGTGAAGATTTTTGTCATTCACAATCCACCCTGATTGCATCTGAGTTGTGTGGCAACCCAATGAGGTAAGGCTGCTCCCTTCCCCCCGGGAGGTATGCCTCGCTATGGAGACAGCACACAAAGGCATACACTAAATGCTAGTTACCTGCCACTTGATGTGGTCTCAGTGTACACCTATCCCCCGGTCTTATTGAAATAGATGTATTGGGGACATGTGGCTTTTAGGAAGTTATTAGGCCATGAAGGCAGAGCCCTCATAAGTGAGATTATTGTCAGTATAAAGGGGCCAGAACAAACAAAGCACAGCAGCACATGCCTGTGTATACCTGGAAGCAGAAAAACCTCTTAAGGCCCAGCAATTAAAGACCATAGAAAGGGGCAACTCCACAAGACTGTCTCAAAGCATATACACAAAATATGCTAACAAAGAAATGAGCTGGAGGAAGATCTTTGGCCCCTCCCACATAAGGCCACACGGTAACAAGCCATGTGTGAACTGGAAAGTAAACCTTGAGACACTGAGTCTGCCAAATTTCCCAATCTGGGATTTTCCAGCCTCCAGACCTGTGAGAGGTAAACTTGTTCAGGAGCCACTCTGGTGACAGTCTGGTGACTCCAGCCCCCATAGACTTGGGCACTATGAACACAGAGGATGCCATTTTGCCCATTTTGTAAGAAACTGAGACTCAGGGGTTGGACAGCTGGTTGCTGGCAACTTAGCTCCCGGGTATGTAAAGTGAGCCGGGTAGGAAGCAAGCCCAGCACAGAGCTCTCCACCCCCAGAATCAACACACTCAACTGTTTCAAACTTTACAATGCTGCATTTCCCTGGTGGCATCCTAGCCACTCACTCACTCCTCTGGGCCTGTCTCTCTCCATCATGAAGTCAGGCTCACTTTTTATGTTTTTTGCCCCCCCCCCCCCCAACAAACATCCAGCTCTCTGACTAAAGACCCTATTACAAGTACAAAGCCTCATTAATTTCACTGGGGTCCCCGCCCGACTATCTGCTGCCCAGCTCTCTACTCCTACTGGGCCTACTCTGAAACCACACAGGAGATTAAGTCAAGAGGGGAACAGGAGGGACATTCTCTCCTTGAACTTTCCTAAACGGAGGGGGGTGGGCATGAGAAGAAAGGCCCATTTTTTCCAAGGAGGGGGCCGAGGCAATGATCTTTCCATTAAGGGGACAAGCATAAGGATGTATAGATTATTTAATGCCGGGGGTGGCTGTGGAGCGGAATAAAGGAATCTTTGTACAATGCCAAGCACAGCTCCCTCGCTCTTTCCCTAGTCAGGCATTTCACCCAACTCCTAAATCATCCAGCTCTAATGTGCCCCATCTGTGCACTGGCCGTGGCCAATGAAATCAAAGCCTCTGCTGACTTTGGCTTAGACTTGTGAGCCTTCCTGCCCTAAAACGGGTAAGGAGGAGGACACGAAGGCAATACAGACTTTTCTGCTTCTTCCTCATCTTCTCCCAAGGCTCAAGCATCATCTCCCCATTTATCTGATCATTTACTGAGCTTCTGCCATGAGTCTGTCAAATTCTGATCAGGGGACTAAGTCAAACAGGACTCACAAAAGGACATGGAAGGTTCGAGAGAGAAGGTAAAGGGGGAGGGGAGGCTGCTCTTGGCAGAGCTGTGAGATACCGGTTACCAGCATGCTCATGGAACGCCGCTAGTGTCTCGTGGCTAAAACAAAGCAAGGCCCTGCACATCTGCCTAAATACAGCAGATGTGACCCCGAAAAGCCACTGCCATCTCTACATGTCCAACTTCTACCCATCTTTTCAGGATCAGCTCAAAGAAAGACCTTGTCAAGAAATCTGACTGAACAGCAGACAATTATCACTTTTCTTACTTAACCTCCACGTTGAAATCTTGAATATTTTTGAGTCTCAGTTTCTCACCGGTATGATATATGACTATCCACTCACCTTAAAGAGTCACATGGGTGAGATAGCAGTTTTCAGTACATCATTTATTGGAGCCTTGACTTCTTATACCCAAGAACACTTCTTATGTTAAAATGGTGCCTCAGATTCCTCCCTTGGATAGAAACACTTATTTTGGAAATGTCTACAAAAAAAAGGTTGTGGAAGGGGAGACAGAGCCAACTCAAATACAAGTTTGTGGGCTCATGTTCCATGCCAGGAAACTGGCTAGTTAGTTCTCCCAATGATATAGCCTTCCATATCCAAATTCCCAGCCAATGGTTTACCCCAAAACTTAGAAGGAATTATATGATATAGGTAGAAAGTAAAGGCAGGCTTAAGTGTAAATAACAAAGTTCAGAAGAGAAGTTGGAAAAGGTAAAGTTCAGCCAGGACCCTGGGCACTCTAGGAATCAAGCCTGTAAGTCAGCACCCTGGAATAGAACCATAAGAGGTCTGTTAGGTTAGAATCTATGACCACAGACTTAGTTGTCTGGGCAGCCTTCATGTGCCTGTCATGTCAGCCTGCAAAAGAAGGATGCTGGCTGTCACTAGTATGAAGTTGAGGCTACACAACCTAAGGAAAAGAAAGCAGAGAGGGGTGGGTGCCTTTGCCAGCACTTCTTGCAAACAGCTGGAGAGTGCTAATTTTTTTTTTTAAGTCTGGATCTGTATAAGTATCTGTTTGTCCTCTAATTGTGTGAAGATTTTCCTGTGCTTCTCAGGAAAGATGCTATTAAGGGGAAATTCTCCCACGATCTTTTCCTCTTTGTCATCTAGCCCCAGTAAAACCTGTTCCTCCTCCCCTGGGAATCTAGAGCCAGGAGGGAGATAGCTCCCTTGAGAATGCTGCCCAAAGTATTGGGTTCCTGTGTTACACAATCATGATGCTGGCTTCATTTATTGGTAAGCCCCGGCCTCAACTTCAGAAGTAGCTATCAAGGGCACCTCTGGGAAACCACGGGCTCATTCTTCAAATGATCACATTTGATTGTGATCAAATGTCACACTGTATTACTTCATGTATAAAGGTCCCAACAGGCCAGGGGCTCAGCTTCTTCAACAGGCTACTTCTGCTCCTCCCCAAAGAACAAGTATCATAATGTTACGGCCTTGCGACTCTCCCTGGGGCTGGCCAGGGGCTCTCCCATCTCAGATAACGAAGCTGCTCCAGTGGGGTTGGAGTGTGGCTCTGTGGTCAAGTTCTTGCCTAACATACAGAGGCCTGGATGATCTGCAAAACCAAATACCCTCCACAAGACCCTCTCTTCCTCACCCCTCTGAGAATTCACTTCCAAGCAGAAAGCATTTTTTTCGTTCACCAAGCTAAACCAAGTAAACATAAGGTTCTAAAAGGAGGCAGAGGCAGGTGGGTTTCTGAGTTCAAGGCCAGCCTGGTCTACAGAATGAGTTCCAGGACAGTCAGGGCTATACCCTGTCTTGAAAAACAAAAAACAAACAAACAAACAAACAAACAACCTTTTTCTCCCTTGTCTGGCCTGTGAGCTGCTAGGCCCTGAAGCCTCTGACACAGTTGACATCTAACTTCCAAAATAACACACAGAATCATTACTCTGTTCCCACAAATCAGAGTTAACTCTCAGTTGAATAGATAGCCTGTGGGTCAGCCCTCCCCTTATATAAAAGACAGCATGCAAATAAATATCCCAGTCTATATGAGTCCGTGACCCCAGGAGAGGAAATGCCCTCCTCAGTGGCAGGTACCTTGGAAATGAGTTCGTCATGATTGGCCAAGTGAGCTCGGCAGTGGATGCAGCTGTAGGTCCGGTGGCAGGAGGGTAGGTATGCCTGAAAGGTCTTGGATCTTGTCATCTTCACCATTGGCGCTGCCGAGTGTGGGGCGAACTCCGGGGCAGCCCACGAGGCACTCCCACAGGATGGGTCGCACGGGAAACACCGAAAGACACAGGTAAAGGCCGTGGTTTGGCAGGGGGTGGGTGTGCGGCAGGCTCCACACACTGGTGATGTCTTCAGAAGAAGGACTCTCTGGCAGAGGTCTAGAGCTTGTTCTTAGCAGCCTAAAGCAAAGGGAAAATGGCCATCAGCAAATGGAACAAAGCTTCCTAAAAGATGAGCGCATGTGCCACCCAGAGGGGTAACAGACCCTGCCACATAATCCATCACCTTCTTCTGTGTTCCCTCTCCCTGTGTCCACTCTAGCCTGGCTGCTTCGATAGATAGTTGAAGGTTTTATGTATTAGCACAGAATTACGCAGGCACCCAGCAAACTGGCATCATCACCATCCCTGGTCAAAGACTAGTGAACTCTGTGCAGTCCCTGGGAAAAGACCTTCTAGCAATCGTCACCCCTGACAAGGTAGCTATCCTCCACATCCAACGGTCCTGTTTGAGTTTCATCCACTTTCAGATACCAGGAGGATACCAGCCCTTGGAGCCACAACCAACAGAGGATGGCCTCTGCTGGAGTAAGTGTGGGATACAAAAGACTAACTTCCCATTTAATAAAACCCCTGAGGAGGGTAGCCAGCTTGTCTGAGACGTGATTCCCTTTGTAACATCTTGTCGGGACAAGATGGCCAGTGTATGTATGTTTGTGTATTTTAAAAAGGTAAGTAGATGAATTAAATCAATGACATAACGTCCTCACACTTGAAAAACCGTAATGACCATGAAGTTCACAACTTCTTCCCCATTTTCCTGTTTCCCCATTACTCCTCGTTCAAGATTCTACCATGTAGTCCCAGTTCTACGAGCAGAGGGGAGGGGAGAAACAAGGCTCCCAGTGGAATCTTATGAATGAATGACTCTAAAGCTTCACTTACCAGAGGCTCTGGCAACCTGTCTATTCCCCGGACTTCTAATGGGGGGGGGGGGTGCGTTCCCACTTGCCGACCTTCCCAGGAGAGCCGTGAGTGTTAATTAACACCTGCACCATGCTTTGAAGATTAAATTATTAAGAGAAATGGGGGAGGAAGATAAATAAGCTCGTCCTTGCTGGACTGTCTGGGACCCGTGTGGACTTAACAGAAAACCTGCGAATCACAATGCTCTTTTCTCTCTAAACGCACTAGAAGCAAGTCTTCTGTGGGAGGCTTCATGCCCTCCTCCCACCAACCCGCCTTTCATTCTTCCCACGACAGCCATTTGGGAGCTCTACCTTTCGGAGTGGATAATATCACTGCCCAGCACTACAGTGAAAACAGTGGCGAGCGGCTGGTGTCCCTTATACACGTCTCTTCACAGCATCCTTGAGCCAAATGGGCTCCATGAGTAGTCACAAGTCTCATGTGACCTGTCTGATTTCTAAAGGGATTCAGATTCAAACCCACAGGGACCAGAGCCCGATGTCTTCCCTGCTCGGTCTCCCACCTGTTCGATGAGGAATTGGGTTACACACAGAAATGCTGGCAGGAGACAGAAGTGGGAGATGGTACCTTACACTGTGCCTCAGAGTTAGGCTTAGCCACAACAGATGCCTTGGATCCCAAGCTAGGCTGTGGTGACCAAAGGCTAAAAGGTGAAAGAGCTAAGTTACTATTTCCCCGCCCTTCTACTGGGTTTCCTGACACATACTCAGTATTTCTAACACCCTGGTTCTGCTCCTAGCAAGGACAAAAATTCCAGAAGAGGACATAGAGCCTTGGAAGTGGCATCCAGCCGCAGTTCACGCCAAATGCTGCTGTTTTGTTTATTAGCAGGTGGGAGTTCTTTTTGTTTGGTCTGGGTTGTGTTTGTTTGCTTTCTTCATGGCCCAGGCAGGCCTGGAACTTGTCTCGGTTCCCTAGAGCTGGGATTAGAAGCATGCAGCGCCATGCCCAGCTGTCTAAGTCCACAGCCGTGGCTGCCCAGTGGCCAGGATGAGCAGCACTGAACTCACGGATCTTACACAAACACCAGAGAGAGAAAGAAAAACAATGGCTCTGGCAGCCTTTCTGCTTTAGAGAGGCCATACAGGGTGTTTTCTTAAGCACGCAGACAGCTTCTCAATTATGCATTTCCCTGGAGTAGAATTATTTCTTTTCTCACTGCTCCTCTGTAGGAAGCCTAAAAAAAGTACACAGGCAGAGGTCCCCGGTTATGCCCTGAATCCACAAACACTGAATTCACAGCTCCATCTACAGAATGAGTATTGGGTAGGTCACAAGCATGGAGCCATATGCCTCGACTCACCAAGACTAAGCTACCATGTAAGTAATGGCCCAGGCTGCAAGGTACTAAAAACCCTGGGAAGACTGGGACAGGGCCTCACTATGTGACTTTGGCTGACCTAGGACCAGGTAAACCAGGCTGGCCTTGAACTCAGAGACTTAAAAGGTTCAGAATCCTGAGCACTTAGATTAAAGGTGTGCCCTTCCACGCCCTGCATTATTCCTCTTTAGTAATCTCACAAGCATCCTAAAAAAGGGACTTCTTTGGGGAAGGGAGACAAGCAGGTAGAAAGTATTAGAAACAGTGGTGGTTCGAACTGGTCCAGACAAGCTAGAAAGACCTAGAAGGAAGGCAAGAATGGTAGTGAGGCCAGGCCGGAGAGACAGTGACAGTTAAGACCATTGCTCTGGCCCAGTCAGCTTCCAGCACCCACAGCAGATGGCTCACAGCAGCCTGCAACTCCAGCTTTGGAGGATCCGATGCCTCTGACCTCAGAGTTGTACACGCTCCTCTTAAAATAAAACACCTTGTAAGAATGTCCAGGCAGTGGCTAGAGACATTTTGTATCCAATAAGAAACCACAGGCCAAGTAGAAAACAAAGATCAATTACAGTCCCCGGGAAGGTGGGGGGGGGCGGGGGAGGGGGAAATCACATAATCACCCAGCGTTCCTCTCATTCGTAGCAGTCAAGGTTCTTAAGGAGCAGAATTGATATGGGATTGGAGGGGCTCAAAGGCTTTGGTCCAGCTGGGCTGGCTACCCATAGTAAGTCCAAGAATCTAGGAGACATTCAGAGTCTCTAATGCCAGTAAAGGACAAGTAGAACAAAGCTTTATTTCCCCATGTCCTTCTATGGGCTGTGCCAGCAGGTGTAAGATTAAAGTGGGTCTTCAAATCAAGAAAAGTCCCTAGCTGGGTGGTAGTGGCACATGCCTTTAATCCCAACACTTGGTGGAGGGTGGGGGGGACGCTGAATGGGGATGGGAACAGGCTGGATCTCTGGGAGTTCAGGGGAGAAATCCTGCCTGGACGAAGGAAAGAGGAAATGAAAGAGGAAAGGAAAAGGAAAGACAAAAAGAGAAGAAATTCCTCACAGGTATACCCTGAAGCTTGGGTTTTAATTCCAGATATAGTTGACAACCAAGAACAGCCACCACATCATTTAAGGGAGGTTTAAACTGCTTGATTTAATTCTCAATAAAGAGAACTGCATTGCTTTTTCTGAAGAGACAGGAACTACGCATACAGGGTCACAACACATTTTAATTTCTGAACTTTGGTCCCTGCTAATGGTGCCACAGCATGCGTGGAATCAAGAGTCCATCCTGTTGAGCATTCTGTGAAGTCCAGTTGATTTCCAACAATAATCAAAAGCCTCATGGCTTATGTACAATTTAAACAGCATTTTAAGTGAACTAATAATCCACAGTGGAAATTAAAGGGAGACTTTTCTACCACCACCAGCTGGCTTGTGGTGATCACCATGGAAAGAAAATGAGAAGTATTATGATTAAAAACAAAGATCTCAGTCAGATAATACCACCACCTCCTGACTGACAGGCTATTCCCATTGGGTGTCACAGTAACCACTGAAATTCAAATCCTCCCAGATGTCACTAAAAGAGTGGCATGTACTCTTTTAGTTAAGCCATAAGGAACCTGAGAGGTGACCTGGAAGCCAGGCAGCACCAGACAACAGTCTCAGAAACTGGCTGCTGGAGAAAGTACCACAGGAAAGACAGGGCTGCCCCTAACGTGTGTCTGTGCTGTTGTTTATGTAGAGGGAAGGTGAACAGAAGTAGACTCTAGAATCTCACAAATGAGTCCTATTCCTTCCTAGCTGGGCGATACCCAGCAAGCCCTCAATCGCTGACCCTCGCTTTCACGTCCAAGTGTGAGATGAGATGACCCAGTGTTCCTTTAGGGCTGGCACACAATCTACAAACTGTATTTTCAGTGCTCAGTGGAGACAGAATGATTCCACTTGGGATGGGACAGCATGAACCGTTTGGGTGGTTCCAATACACCATGCTCACACTCACATCTGAAACTTTTGTGGCCATTCCCCGCCGCTTCTCAAGTCTGGTACAGCTTTCTCCTGTTCCTACACCAAGCCCTCACTTGTTCACTCAAACTTAGCCAGGTAAGGTGGGTGTAGGAATGCTGTAAAACTGGCATTTGGAATGCTGAGGCAGGAAGATGCTATGAGTTTGAGGAAAGCCTGCAGACAGCAAGAAACATAAGACCCGGGGAGCAGGTAAACTTGGATTCACTCTGGATTCTTCTCACTAGTTACCTTAACAAACTGGGCAAAATGTCTGAAAGAGAGGAACATTCAACATTCCTAATTAGCTACAATCATTCCTACCCCTCCAAGACCAAAGGTATCAGTGTTGCTGTGCCCCATGATTCATGGTGGTTAGGAGGTTGCACAGAGTTTCGGGTCAGCCAGGACTACATAGTGAGACCCTGTCTCAAAAACAAAACAAAACAAAGCAACCTACTGTCATGACTTGGGTGTGATGGAGCAGTCCCAGCACTCCAGGAAGACTGCTCCAAGTTTGAGCCAGGCTGGTCTATATTTCAAGTTCCAGGCCAGCAAGGGCCACTCAATGAAACCTTGCCTCAATTCCAAAATCCAAAACAAAAGAAAAAAGAAAAGAAATCAACAGGAAAAAAAAAATCAGTTATTTTACAAATACCTCTTTTTTTTAAAAAAAAAAAAAAAAAAAATTTACGATGTGAATATACTGTTACTGTCTTCAGACACACCAGAGAAGGGCATTGGATCCCATTACAGATGATTGTAAGTCACCACGTGGTTGCTGGGAATTGAATTCAGGACCTCTAGAAGAGCAGAGGGTACTCTTAACTGCTAAGCCATCTCTCCAGCTCCCA